AATCATAAATGCAAAAATCATATTTTAATATCTATAAGCGGACGAAGGGAGCATAGTACGCAATATGGTGTCAATAGAAATAGAAATAGAAATAGAAACTTTTTTATTCAATGTAGATTATAAAAATACTTATTGAAGGTCACTTTTTTAATTTACCACTGGTTCGCAAAAAAAAACCTCTGTCCTGGGAAGAACCAGCAAGAAACCCAGCGGGACTATTTTTTTTTTAATAATAGCTTACAATCATGTGTACAATCAACACCACAAGACAAATTAGAAATAGCTTGGTAGCGATCACCCTTCCCAGGGGTTATTATCATCTATAAATTCCTTAATATTATAATAACCCTTTTTATACAAACTTATTATTTAATAGATTTTCAGGTAGACAAGATGCACGTTTCGCATCTTTATTAACCGGACCGGTTAAATCGGACTGGATTGAATAAATTCCTGCTCATATACTTTCCACAATCTGCAAAATAAATAAAATGAATGTGCCTTTTCGTATAGTTAAACGGGTTCTGAAGGGGATCTACGCGGGTTTGTTCAATGTAGTTGCACCTGATCGATGAGAGAAGGCGCCGCCTTACGTTCACTCGTTCGTCGAACATCGCGTTTTAGGTACAAAACAAATAATATATAATATAACTAATATAATATAACAAAGCTCGAAGTTGTTGACGAGTATGTTTACCTGGAACAAATAGTCCGACTAGGTAAGTCTAACTTCGGCCGAGAGGTCACCTGACGGATTCAACTCTGCTGGGCAGCGTGCGGGAAATTACGTTACGTACGCACATCACAACGCAACGCACATCTTGTTGTTTTACCTATCACATAGAATTGTATAATACACAATAGAATAGATGTCAACCTTATTTTATACAAGAATTGGCGCCGCCAAATCCGATTCGCTGTGTTGACAGACTGAGTAAATTTACACATTTTAGATTTTGATTAATGCTTAAGCTCATCATTAAATTTTAATACATATTTATTTGTAAATAGGGTGCAATTTGTCATTTTCTAAATAATTTGCATGCGAAATTTGGAAACGATTGTAACGTTAAAACACATCTCTTGTTGACATAATTTATACGTGTGAATTGACGTATTATAAGACATTTTAGTGGCTACGCGGGCATCGCCCACTCCCCCGTTCTATTATGTATGTATTATAGTATTCTATGACCTATCATTAGAATTATTATTAACAATACTTAATTTTTTGTGGCGGACACACTATAAAGATTGATTTACATAAAGTAGCTAAAAATGCAGGATCAGAGCAGCTATAAATAAGAAAGTATTAAGTGTTTCATAAATCAATGATATATATGGCGGTAGTTTAACCAACAATGAAATTTCTTAGAATATACAATAGCATGATGAATGGTTAACGAGTAACGAAAGTAGTCGAACGGCGGATTTGAACCCATAACTTTTGAGGTTGCCGTGCGCACCCCTAACCATTAGGCTATAGTAGCATATTATACTACGTTATTCCCTGACCCTTAGTCCGTACATAAATTCAGCCAAAAATCACACACAGCTACAAAAAGGAATGGTTATTATGACAAGAGAGAATTTACAATGAATATCGTATAAAAGAAAGAGAGTATCACAGTAACAATATTTAGGTACATGACCACCGTTAGCTCTGCTTTCTACCGCACTGCCACGGAATAAATAATAGTATTTAGTATCGCAGTACGCACTGCGCATGTCTGTCACAGATTAAACATAGAGAGGAGCGGATAAGAAGGTAATGCATTTTGTATACAATCGATTGAATTGTAAAATATCGAGATAATAGAATACAATTAGAGCTGATAATCTTCCGCTTACGAGATGTCGCTAGTAGACACCGACGTAAGGTTTTTTGTTACACAATGTAGTTTAATTGAGAAGTTAGTTTTAAATAAAATTTAAATTTAATCAATTTCTAGAGTATTATATTAATAGATAAAACAATGCCTAAAGGGTTTGCTTTAATTTTTTGAATTTTATTATTTTTTTAATTATTTATCATCTAATTAATATAAAATATATTAATTAGTACATAAACAAATGTAGTAATATATATATATATATATATATATATATATATATATATATATATATATATATATATATATATATTATATACTGTTAGTATACATATATTTAACTCTTAGGTTACCAAATAGCGAGGCAATCCATCAGGGATTAATCCCTAATGATTCAGAATTATACATATGAAAAGATGCTGAAGCCTATTTGGATTTTGATTCCTAATCGAGGCCAGGTGCAGGTCTGTTGGAGGGAAGTAGACACAAACCACTTGGCGTCAGGTAAGCTGAATGCTCGATTGTCTGCCTTATGGTAAGTGGATGCAGTAATCCATAGACATCTACATCTTTAATCGATTAAAAATCAAAGTGCAGATGCGTTGTTACCCCTGAAGAATAAGGTGGAATACCTCGATTTTAGTAAAACTGATCTCCTGTCCTCTACACTCACCACACAAAACACAGCAGCATTAAGCTGCTAGAAACACAGCAGCATTAAGCTGCTATTTAATGAAACACAGCAGTATTAAGCTGCTACTTTACGCTGGTATTCCGTGAGATCGTGGTCCTTTTCCGGTCGGGCCGACCAATTCGTGCTACAACTATAATATAGCTGCAGCCTGGTTCTAACTTCTGTGAAATATTCAAGTTGTATAAACTCTGTGAAGACGCGGCTAGTGTACACACTATCATGACTGTATAGACGTACTCTCGTTAAGGACTAGTGCTACAGTTAACCGCTACACCGCAGTTTTCAATTTCACGTCGCACCGCACTATTAGTACTTTAGAGGCCATATTTAAACTCCACTACAAGCAATTCTTGTTGTAGGTTGAGGCATGCCGCGCACTAGGCCGCCTGGCTGCGCAGCCAGGCTGCGGCGGCCGAAATATTTGAGCAGCCACTTCAGACAGCCAGGCTGCGCCGGCCGTTTGACAGCCAGTTGCGATCCTTTTTTCGAGGGATATGGACGTGAAAGAACTTGTAATTTTGTGCGTATCTAGTAAAAAAACGCAAAGTTAAAACATTGGATTCATCCGCTTTTTCTAGAACGGCACTCAAAAGGCTTATTTTATACCTATTTTAAAGATGTTAGTAAATACATAACTACAGAATGTCAGTGCAATCATTTGATAACCTTTTGGAAAATATAATAAATACAATCTAGGGCACTGATACTCTTATGCGAGCTTGTATAACTCCAGAAGAAAAATTGGTGATTACATTGAGGTAAGTGCTAAAATAAAAAATACTGTTAATTGTTTATAACATTTATTCTTTATTTCTTACATTTATGGTAAAGAATTTTCCTGAAATAGTTCAAGTAATTCAGAATTCTGAGACGTATCTGTTACATTTGTGTCAGATGGAGATAACACCTCAGTATATCCGGTATTGTCTTGCTGTATTCACTGCATTCTTCTGAAGATATATCTCATATTGCTTTACGGTTTTCAATTTCGCGAATTAATTTCTCCGTATCGAAAGTCATTTTGAATTTCAGAAAACAAATTACGTCTGGCTGCTACGACAAGTGCGCGGTGACCACAGAACACTATTACTCCTATCGGAGGCGGTGACTGAGTGTCTGACAGCAGCCAGGCAGCCACATACATTCGCCCAGTGTTGCCAGATGCCTTGAACCTGTTATTTGTATTAGACACTGCTAAAATCTGTATGCTATTTAAAATTAAAATCTGTATAATCTAATAAACCAAAATAGAATAATTTATCATCATCGTCATCATTTCTTTTTTTGAAAAACAAGGAAGAACTACTAACGTGATAAGCAGATAAGGTTTGATTATCATTATTAAATAAAAATATTTTTTAAAGAATAAGGGTGATAAACGAGCACACAGTCCACCGATGGTAAGTGGATGCTGTGGCCCACAGACATGCACATTTATCCTCGCTTAAGAATTAAAACGCAGATACGTTGTCACGCCTGAGGACTAAGAGGGGATGCCTCATTTCCAGTAAAAAAGGGTCTCCGGATTTCTACTTTCACCATACGAAACACAGCATTAAGCTGGTATTTTACGCTGGTATTCTGTGAGAGCGTGGTCCTTCCCCGGTCGAGCCGACCCATTCGTGCTGCAACCATAATATAGCTGCAACGTGACTCTACCACGTATAAAATTATACACTATGTACTAAATTTTTTATATAACAAAATTGAAAGCATTAATTTAAGCAAACAACATATTAAAACTCAAACATTTGCCAAATGAACATATAATTACTTTATTATTTTCAGTCATACATATTTTATATATGTATTATTTATACATATTTTATAATACACTTCTAATTCTGCCATACTAACTAATTAAGATGTGAAACAATAAATTAACCATAAAGAATAGTATCATGAATGTGTGTAACGCGGTATCTAGTCACTTATTTTGGTTCATTCTATTTTAAGTTGAATATTATGGTAATCCAACTAAGTTAGAAAACTCTGTATAAAAATCTGTACCCAGTGCTAATCTGTATCACACACCGAAAATCTGTATGAATACGAGGAAATCTGTATATATGGCAACACTGCATTCGCCCTACTCGCTCTGGCTGCGCGCAGCCAACGGGTGCCGTGCAATCGGGCGCGTTTTTAGCCCCCCCCCCCCCCCCACTCACTAGGCAGCCTGGTTGCGGCAGCCAGGGTGCGGCACCGGCAGCCAGTCGAACATATGACGGTGCATAGGTTACTGACTATATACTAGAGATGACGGTGTATAGCAGCCCGCCCACTAAGCAGCCACGAACTCCCGGCTGCGGCAGCCATAAAAACGCGCCCGATTGCACGGCAGCCCCTTGGCTGCGCGCACCCAGAGCGAATAGGGCGAATGTATGTGGCTGCCGTCAGTCACCGCCAAAGGTACTCTGTGGTTACCGCGCACTTGTCGTAGCAGCCAGACGTATTTTGTTTTCTGAAATCACAAAATGACTTTTGATACGGAGAAATTTATTCGCGAAATTGAAAACCGTAAAGCGTCTTCAGAAGAATACAGTGGTACAAAACCGGTCTGGGTATTTACGAACATCTTTAAAATAGGTATAAAATAAGCCTTTTGAGTGCCGTTCTAGAAAAAGCGGATGAATCCAATGTCTTTTAACTTTGCATTTTTTACTAGATACGCACAAAATTACAAGTTCTTCCACGTCCATATCCCTCGAAAAAAGGATCGCAACTGGCTGTCCATTGGCTGTCAAACGGCCGGTGCAGCCTGGCTGCCTGAAGTGGCTGCCCAAATATTTCGGCCGCCGCAGCCTGGCTGGGCAGCCAGGCTGCCTAGTGCGCGGCATGCCTTATGACTACCGCAGCCGGGAGTTCGTGGCTGCTTAGTGCGCGGGTTCCCATACATCGTCATAATACGTTCGACTGGCTGCCGCATCCTGGCTGCCGCAGCCAGGCTGCCTAGTGCGTGGAGGGGGGGGAGGGGCGGGGCTCACATTTCAATAGAAATTTGGTGGTGGCGTATCATAATCCATCCATAGTAAGAGTATCCACTACCTCATATCGTCCCGTGGGTGTCCCAAGAGGCGCCAGAGAGGAACTGAAACAGGAGATGAGCAGCAGCATCTTAATCCTAACAACAACTACAAATAATATAAAACTGCGGCTGCCAACCCAGCTGTCAAGCGTGGCAACTATGGCAAAATCCCCCCCATGAATCTAAGGGTGAGGCCTTTTTTCAGCTTATGTTCAGCAGAGGACTACTATAGGCTGTGATGAATGGATGGTAAGAGATTTCATCACCTTATTCCGTATCGCGAATATTGTAAGAGGTGACCATGGGATATGCCGGAAGAATGTTATGGCTTCCAACAGCCGGCGGTGCTTATTTATTTATTCTGACTTACCAACTAAGTACATATGAAATATTTCTGCTAAATTTTCTTATAACTATAACACTATATATCTACGTACTTAAATTATATGTAAGTTGGGTAAGAGCAGTTTCACATTCACATATTATTTTATTTAGAAACAAATTTGTATGACCATCTCTTCTACTATTTCCGTCACCTTTTTTGCCTATCCATTTCAATTGCACGACATAGATTCCCCATAGAACACCTTATAGGGGTGTTGACGGGAGAGTTGGCTCCCGCAGTTTTACTTTTATTTGTTATTAAGACGACGTTGTTACTCATCCCCTCCATCTGCCCCTGGTTTGTGTCCCTCAAATTTCCACTGCGTTATATGGGGCAGTGGATATTCTTACACCGCCACTAGACTGTTGTCGTAAAGCGACAATTAAAAAAACTAAAGAACCTAACCTAACAACAACGAAACAACAAAAATAGAACAAAAACGAATAATTTATTTAAAATTTTAAAAGATATTTACAGTTTTATATAAAAAAATATGAAGATGATGATGGGTGACGTGAATTACAATTATTTTTTTTTTTAAATAATAAAGATAAGTGAGTACTGAAACGGAGCCCGAAGACCAAAGTGGCACACCGCGCTTGGCAGTGGTGCACACCGCTCACGGAGTATGCACAGGCTATGCCTGTGGTAGGTGCGCAGCGCCTGATCTAGGCACACGCAGCGTCCGAAGTAGGCACACGCAGCGTCCGGAGTAGGCACACGCAGCGTCTGGAGTAGGCACACGCAGCGTCTGGAGTAGGCACACACAGCGCCTTCTAGATGCTCTCAGCGCCTGAAGTAGGCGCTCGCAGCGCCTGGAGCAAGCACGCAAAGCGGCTAAAGATAGCGCGGGCACTAGTAGGTGGAGGCGTAGGCCGCCTCTAGACTGTTTATTATCTCGTTTACGCCAAGCGTTAAATATCCAGACCAGTGACGGGCAGCCCATAGTTTCTGAGGACAATACTTCGATCGTAATTGTTTTGTGTTTTTTATAGAATAAGAGTTATAAACAAGCACACAGTCCACCTGATGTTAAGTGGTTAGTGATTCCTATTAACAATCGAAATGCGAATGTGTTGTCACCCCTGAGGATTAAGATGGAATGCCTCGAGTCCATCAAAAGGAGGTCTCCGGATCTCACTCACCATACGACACACAGCACTATTAAGCTGCTATTTTACGCTGGTATTCTGTAAGAGCACAACCATAACATAGTTGCAGCATGGCTCCACCACGTCAAAATCTAATGTCTGCTAATCGTAACCATTAAAGTAAATCCTCCCTAATCTGGGAGAGGTTTATGTACAGCTGTGAATGTTTACGGGCTGGTACAATTGTGATGATGATGAATTGTACTAAAATTTTACAGAATCCCGAAAAGAAGGTTGACTATAAAGCTTTTGATACCTGTTTGTATAACAATATCTATAGCATTAAATTTGCTGTTAATTGAACCGTGTTGTGCAGTAATGACCTACAAACAGGCCAGAATAATAATCCAGAGGCTCTCCTTTTCAGTTTATATCCAAGTATGAGATTTCTAGAAAATAACAAGTAATGCCGAAATCGACTTACATTCAGTTTTATTTAAAAATATTTAAATAACATGATAACACAGGGCTTCCGCCACATAAAATTCGTTTATCGATTTTGTGGGTTGAATCACAACAGCACTTGAGCTTACTAATCCGTTGGGCTATGTCGGTCACACTGGTTCTACTGCAGATATCCTCATTTCTAAGCTTATCTAAGTCAACAACCTCGAGCTTAGCGCTCCCCATTCCAACAACTACCCACTAAAGGTTGAATCACAAAATGTTCCAAATTAGATTATATGACAGCTCCATAGTGCAATACTAAACATTTAGCAACGGCGCTGGTTAGAATACCGCATGTTACAATGATTTATAATATGACCTTAGTAAATATTTTTATTGCACATTTTACAGGTGTCATAACAGCCCTCTTCTTGCACCATCATAACAGCCTATCAAAAGCTTACCACTAAACATAGGCGTCCCATATATTGTTCAAAGGGGGGGAGATATTTGCCACAGTTGCCACGCTTCGCAGGCGGGTTGGGTTTTTATTACAGCTACTAGCTTTTTGAAGATGCTGTTGTTTGTCTCCTGTTTAATTTTCTTCTGTAGCCCTTTACAACACCTGCGGGATGATATGGAGTAGTATGAGGTGTCCGATGGAAAAAAAAACCTATTCAGCCCTGATAGCAATACAAAAATGCTAGATTCTATGAAATTAGCACATGGAAAGAGCGCTAGATTTCGGCGCTAAATTGATATTTGTCCCATGAATAGTTAAATAAAAAAATCATGAAATATATTTAATGGTATAGATTGTAGTTTTCGTTTAATCAACTAAAGTAGTATTATAATAAATTGGTTGTTGGTAGAACTCTTTTCCTGAGTCGGTCTGGTTATATACTACCCTGTTAGCAATTTCTACCTCCAAGCAGCAGTGCATGCATTAACATGGTCCATCCTGAGGGCTGTAGGAGTTAAGGAAGTCTTACGAATGACATCACATCTGTAGTCTACTATGTCTGAAATTGGTTGCAGGTGTTCACGGGTTGCACGAGCCACATCTGCAGTGAACTGCATGTTCGTTTGAAACTTTATTGTCATAAAAATTTCCCTGTGCATTTTCTATCGCACTGGTTAGTGGATCGCACGGGGAGTGCTCTGGGGAATTATTCGAATTGATTCCAGCCGCCACATTTCATGAACGTACATCGCGTCAAAACTATCCATCACGGTACTATCCATGTTTAGCGGTCCCCCACTGTGCATTTTCTGTCTCGTAAAACCTCTCTGTGGAATTGTTTACCACTGGCGATTTTTCCGGATCGATGGGACTACGGCACCTTCAAGAAAAGAGCTTTTCTAAAAGCCCGGCAACGCACCTGCAATTCCCCTGGTGTAGCAGTTGTTCCCGGGTGGCGGTAGTAAATTACCATCAGCAGAGCCGCATGCCACATCTTCAAAAAAATAGTTTTGTCAGCTTAAAAAACATGTTACATGTTCACAAAACAAAATATTGGCTAAATTAATCTCAGACTGTAGCATAAATACAGATAGAATGCATGTTGTTGATGGAATGAATGTTGTTGAATGAATATGTTGTTGAAAACAAATGATCATTTAAGTAAGAAGATCAATCCATTATTCAGCTGTATGGAACAGCTAACAACACCGCAGCACAGCACAGCACAGAACATCAGTCTTGCTATGTTAGAATTTTTAATTTATTAACTAAATTAGGCGTTAGTCGCAAAAATTTGCAGATGTGCACTAGACTTACTAAAAAAGCGCTAAAATGCAGCACTAGTGTTGGTTTAGCCTCAAGGGTGTGAAACATCTGAGTTTGCAATGACCATAAAACTTTGCAAAGAAAGTGCTTCAGACAAATCCTTTAGACAAATTTAGCAACCAGAGGCCTTTTAGTTTATTAGGTTAATTGTTGGCTATACCGATCTCTTGCTATTGTCTGGCGCCAGGTCTTGGGAAGCTGTAGTGAATAACATTAGCCTGTTTCACCAGGCACTTCCCAGTACCTTTTTCTGAGTCAACTTTCGCCTGGGTTCAACCATTATGCTTAGCATTTTTGACTATCGTACATGATCCAATTTTCAACACAAGTAACAATACAATTAAATATTTGTCACTACACCAGCCAGCCTCACAGGAGACTAGCCACTTGCAAAGGACAGGATTATAGTGTCCAAGTGCATCCGCAAGAACAGGTGCACACTATTCCCCCACCCTCATAGTCCGATGGGACGATACACCGACACGACCAGAGAGATGCAGATTATTAAATAATTATTAATAATGTTCTGAAACAACTCCGTGATACTGGGCATCGTCCTATCTTTTTTCTTATAAAAAGAAAGATAAAAGGTTAATTTTCTTATTTGAATATCAAAGATTGGCAAAAAAGAGTCTATATAAATTTTGACGATAATCCTAAGTAGTTTAATCATATTTCTTACATTATTAGCACCTCAATTTATGTTTGCGTGTATGTAATTCAGTTGGTAGTAAATTTTTATTATCAAAAGTCGACATCGCCTGAGCTATGGATATAACAAAAAGACAATCACAATTTGCCAAGCAATAAAACTCGGTCTGGTTACGGAGAGAGGAAAAAACGTGGCAATTTCATCAAATTGTCTCAACTTAGGGAGAGTTTTATGTCATCTACGAACAAAATTTTAATATTACAACCTATTAAAAAGTTACACGTGAAGTGCCTGACAAAATAAAAAAGCAAAAACTTGTGATAAGAAAAACACAAAAATTCATATAGTAGGCAGTATAGATTTAATAATAATTTACATTTTTTATTTGAAAAATTTTTAACCTATAAACATTTTTGTCATTTTACTGGTGACTGGACTATTTTGTCCATCTGGGTGGGATACTCCACAATCTTTCTTATTTCTACCGC